TGTCAGAGAACTGTCAGAAATAGCGGAGCTCTCTGCAGTGACACTTTTTGCCGGCTGATCGGGGAAAATTCGATTCGTGCATCCGAAGTTTGCTAAAATTCGGATTCGGTGCGAATCAAATTTTTCCTAATATTCGAAACGAATTCCACTTCGCCAAGTTCGATTCGCTCATCTCTAGTTACAACCTTGGCAGACTGACGACACCAGAAATCTTAAAGGATATAGTCGTGCGCTGGAGCGATTGGGGCGTAAAACCAAATCCCAGCAAGCATTCACCCGATATAAATCTGCTTTCTTAACATACAATTCCTCCCTTCGTGCTGCCAAACAAGCCTACTTTGTCACTCTTATTAATACCTTGTCATCCAGTCCTCGTCATCTCTTCTCTACTTTTAACTCTCTACTTTCTCCACCTCCACCTCCACCCAGTACCTCACTCACTGCTCACGAGATTGCAAATCATTTCAAAAACAAGACTTACGCAATTCGTGGGGGCATCGCCACTGCACAGACATCCATGCCACTTAGCATACCTTATACTAAACCTCCCTCAACACTTTCCTCTTTTGACCTTGCTACTACCGAAGAGGTTGCTAAGGTTTTCTCAGCAGCCCGTCTCTACTACCTGCCCCCTGGATCCTGTCCCCTCACAACTACTACAGTCACCCTCTTCTTCCATCCTATGCTCCCTCCCTCACATCTTCAATCTTTCCCTCTCTACTGGTGCTTTCTCCTCCCCTCTAAAGCATGCGCACATCACTCCCATACTTAAAAAGCCCTCCCTGGACCACACCAACCTGAACAACTTAAGACCCATCTCCCTGCTGCCATTTACCTCTAAACTCCTAGAACGCTTAATCTACAATTGCCTGAGCTCCCACCTCACCGACAACAACCTTCTTGACCCTTTACAGTCTGGCTTTCGCTCACTACACTCCACTGAAACTGTCCTACTAAAACTCACTAATGATCTACTAACCGCTAAAAACCAATGGCCACTACTCCGTACTCTTACTACTTGACCTCTCTGCGGCTTTTGATAAGGTTGACCATCCCCTCCTCCTCAAAAAACTCAGCAGCCCTCTCTTGATCTCAGAGACTCTGCTTTCTCCTGGTTCTCCTCCTACCTAGTGCTCCTTCAGCATTACCTATAATGCTGCCTCCTCCTCTTCACTCCCTCTTTCTGTAGGGGTCCCTCAAGGTTCCTTGGACCCCTTCTCTTCTCCATCTACACCTCCTCCCTTGGTCACTTGATAAACTCCCATGGCTTTAAGTACCATCCCTATGCTGATGACACACAAATCTATCTTTCTACTCCTCACCTCACCCCTTCAGTCTTCTCTCGCATTACTAACCTACTAAGTGACATATCGGCATGGATGTCACTCCACTTCCTAAAACTTAATCTTTCCAAAACTGAGCTCTTAGTATTCCCCCCAGCCCATGTCCGCTCCCCCGACTTCTCCATCGAGATCAATAACACAATCATCATTCCCTCCCCTCATGCCAGGGTGCTAGGTGTAATCCTAGACTCCCATCTGTCCTTTGACCCCCAAATCTAATCACTGTCCAAATCTTGTAGACTTCACCTCCGCAACATCTCCAAGATTCGCCCGTTCCTAACCTCGGAAACCACTAAGCAACTTATTCACTCCCTTGTTATATCTCACCTTGACTATTGTAACTCCCTCCTCATTGGACTACTGAATCACAGGCTATCCCCTCTTCAGTCTATCATGAATGCTGCTGCCAGACTTATCCACCTTACTAACCGTTCTGTATCTGCCACCCCTCTCTGCCAATCCCTCCACTGGCTTCCCATTGCCCAACGGATAAAATTCAAAACATTAAAAATAACGTATAAAGCCATTTATAACTCTGCCCCAAATTACATCAATGATCTTGTCTCTAAATATCACCCAAACCGCATTCTCCGCTCCTCACAAGACATCCTGTTCTCTAGCTCCTTTGTTGCCTCCTCTCATGCTCATCTCCAGGACTTTTCTAGAGCTTCCCCCATCCTTTGGAATTCTCTACCCCAATTTATCAGACTATCGCCTCCTCTGCTCACTTTTAGGCGATCTCTGAAAACCTATCTCTTCAGGGAAACCTATTCTGCCCTCAGCTAATAATGGAATCTTCTACGCTTCCAACTAGTCCATCCCCCACAGTTACTACCTTTTGTACCACTAGACCCTCCCTCCTAGATTGTGAGCTCCAAGGAGCAGGGCCCTCCTTTCCCTCTTGTATTGAACTGTATTGTTGCTGTATTGTCTCCCATTCTATTGTAAAGAGCTGAGCAAACTGTTGGCGCTATATAAATCCTATATAATAATAATAATAATACAGATAGTGTGCTGCTGCCATAAGTAGTACAAAAGCATAAAAAAAAAATAATGAGTAATTAACAGTCACTCTTAAGCAGTGCTCTACCACCCAGTGAGTAAATGTGAGAAACAGAAGTCCACCTTTGTGTTAATTTTAGCAAATAGTGTCCTTTGCAATCAAAAGAAAGTGTTCATTGATCGCAGTCCCTATATGCACTCTTGAATTTCCACTCTATTCACCACAGTGCATCAGGTGACATCTGCTCCCCATAAGACCCAACACTCACTGATATTATTGCCTCTCATTTTAATGATCAGCATATATCACATAATCGGCACAACTCTTTCATTCATAGGTGTGTCTCCATCTCAGGATAATCAGCTCCACTCCAGCAATCACTATCCTCTAGAGTGTGGCATCAGCATTCTCTTTGGTTTTGTAGTCCAGCAGTCCAACTTTCCACACTACTATGTAAAAGCAGAAGTCATCATTGCTGCAAACCCTTCAGTGCCTGGTCAGCAAAACAGTCTGTGCAAAATAACATTGTTGATGGAAAAGTAGTAGTGGCGATATCTTACAGTAGCGATACTTTAGCAGACACCTACATGTGGTGGGTTTGGCCATCTGCATGCTTTGCTGAGGTTTTCTCCTCCTCTGTAGTGTGATTGACCATTGGGCACCTGGCTGATGGTATGGTGTGCTCACTATATCCATTTGTTGAATTTCTGTTTCCTACTGTAGTTCCTCCAACAAAAGACTTAGAACTAAAAATAAAATTAATTTTGTGACAACTTGATCAATTCAATATAATTAGGTACTTTGTTGTCCCCCAGCCTATTCTGCTCTAGAAACCCTATTAACACATGGTTACGAGCAAATGGATCTTATCCGTGTGGGTACAATACATGCAAACAGTGCAAAAGACAGAAAAAGTACTTAAGTTGCTTCCTTTGCTACCAACAAAATATATCCACTAAAACATTATATAAACTGTAATTCCAAGTCAATTGTATACTGTATATAATAGAATGCAGTGCTTGTCGTGTGCAATATATAGGGTGTACCATTTGTTCTTTGCAGGTAAGAATTTCAGAACATTTTAATGACACCAACAATCCTTAAGCAAAGATTATTTCAAATGTCTCTAGACATTTTAGAGAACTACATGAGGGAAATCGTATTTTTTCTCTCTTTTTTGGTCTTGAACAAATCAAGAATCCTGTGAGAAGGGGTGACACGTACCACACTTTACTTCAACATGAGCTGTGGTGGATCCACACACTCAATACTAGGTTCCACATGGCTTAAATAATATATTGGATGGCAACCTATTCTTGAAGTGAAATCACGTTGTTTTGCAGATGTTGTTTTATAGGTATCAGGATTGTTTTCATGGCAGTATTTATAAATAGGAATGATTATAAAACATTTGCCAGCAAATATTTATCTTGAATGGGGGGCATGCCCCTTTTTGCCATCTAAAGCCTTTGGATTTTTTTTGTATTCCTTTTCCATATGATATGAAGTAACCTAATTGTTTTAATCAAGTCAATACGCCAACACATTTGTTTGGATGGGCTGTGCTATTATATATAATATTTGATTTTATGTTTTGTATGCTATGAGGAAGGCTTTCGCTGAAATGCATTAGCATCTGTAGATTCTGTACAAATATTTTATAACCAATAAAGATATATTGAGCAACATCTGAGTTGCCGGCTAACATCTTTAAAGACAACACTGAGACAAGTGAACGTTTTAGCCAGAGCACCGGCCTCCAGCCCTCAATAACAACATAGCAGTTGAGCTTGGGTGAGTTTAATTTCAGTTTTTCCTCTATTCCCTGGGTCATGGTGTCCTTTTTTTGCTCTTGCTGCTTTTCTTTCCATTCACCTGCTTCTCTGGTTGTCTCCTCTCTGTGGTCCTATCTGTTTTTCCTTCATTTAAGATTTTTCGCAGTGTCCTAGAACAAGCATGCATGCTCTGTATATCTCTTTTCAGGTGGGCTGTATACATGCACAGATATGGCCAGGTGCACCCATCTTGATGGGTCATATTCCTTGGAAAGGACATCCCAGTCTATCTTCTAATTGAATTTTGTAGTGTTCAGATAACTGTCACCTTTGTGTATGTCTGAGCGATCCTGATTTCCTGCAAATCCTGTTCTTATTTTTTGCCTCCTATGGTATTTTATCTTTAGGCTTTTCATAGGCGCAGGGGTAATGCAACTTCTTTCATCTGATTATAGCAAGTAGAGATGAGTGAATTATTCAAAAATTCGATTCGGCTGATTCGCCGAATTTGCGGAATAAATTCGATTCGATGCGAATTTATTCGCTGCAAATTTAACTTATTAAAAGGGTTTCTAGGCTTCAGAGAGCCTTTATATTAGTGCAGAACACTGTACCTTTAATTTAAATGCCCTTGGAGTCTGCTGGGGAAGAGAAATAATACTGTCAGTCAGTATGACATGCAGATGAGTGCCGTCGATCTTAGAATCACCGCACACTTCACTCATTTGGGCAGTCACGGGGCCAAAACCAGAGTGTGGAGCCACAGTGTGGCGGTGGAGGCAGCAGCAATGGGAGGCCATACAGCACCCTATGACAAAATGGAACCCACCAGCAGTGTGAGGAGACCTGAAAGTGGCACATGGCAGAGTGTGGCGATGGAGACAGCAGCAATGGGAGGCCGTACAGGGACCCATGACACACTCTGGACCTGGCAGCAGCATGAGGAGGCGGTACAGGGGCCCATGACAGATTACGGGCCTGGCAACAGCATGAGGAGTCGGTACGGGGGCCCATGGCAGATAACGGGCCTGGCAGCAGCATGAGGAGGCGGTACAGGGGCCCATGGCAGAGTGGCAAAGCGTAAGCAGCTTAAATTGAAGGCCATAAAGAGGCCTATGTTAAAAAGTCCCCCCAGCAGCAGTGTGGGGAGACGACTATCAAGAGTCCAATGGCAGAGTGGCGGAGCAGAAGCAGCTTCAATTGAAGAAGAAGAGGATGAGGATGAAGAAGAAGAAGAAGAAGAAGAAGAGGATGAGGATGAAGAAGAAGAAGAAGATGAGGATGAAGAAGAAGAAGAAGAAGAAGAAGAAGAGGATGAGGATGAAGAAGAAGAAGAAGAAGAGAAGAGGATGAGGATGAGGAAGAAGAAGAAGAGGATGATGAAGAAGAAGAGGATGAGGATGACGAAGAAGAAGAAGAAGAAGAGAAGATGAGGATGAAGAAGAAGAAGAAGAAGAAGAAGAAGAGGATGAGGATGAGGATGAAGAAGAAGAGGAGGATGAGGAAGAAGAAGAAGAAGAAGAAGAAGAGGATGAGGATGAAGAAGAAGAAGAAGAAGAAGAGGATGAGGAAGAAGAAGAAGAAGAAGAAGAAGAGGATGAGGATGATGAAGAAGAAGAAGAAGAAGAGGATGAGGATGAAGAAGAAGAAGAAGAAGAAGAAGAGGATGAGGATGAAGAAGAAGAAGATGAGGATGAAGAAGAAGAGGATGAGGATGAGGATGAAGAAGAGGATGAGGATGAGGAAGAAGAAGAAGAGGATGATGATGATGAAGAAGAAGAAGATGAGGATGAAGAAGAAGAAGAGGATGAGGATGAAGATGAAGATGAAGAAGAAGAGGATGAGGATGAAGAAGAAGAAGAAGAGGATGAGGATGAAGAAGAAGAGGATGAGGATGAGGAAGAAGAAGAAGAAGAAGAAGAGGATGAGGATGAAGAAGAAGAAGAAGAAGAGGATGAGGATGAAGAAGAAGATGAGGATGAAGAAGAAGAAGAGGAAGAAGAAGAAGATGATGATGAAGAAGAAGAAGAAGAAGAAGAAGAAGAAGAGGATGAGGATGAGGATGAGGATGATGAAGAAGAAGAGGATGAGGATGAGGAAGAAGAAGAAGAAGAGGATGAGGATGAGGATGATGAAGAAGAAGAAGAAGAAGAAGAAGAAGAGGATGAGGATGATGAAGAAGAAGAAGAAGAAGAAGAAGAAGAGGATGAGGATGAAGAAGAAGAAGAAGAGGATGAGGATGAAGAAGAAGAGGATGAGGATGAGGAAGAAGAAGAAGAAGAAGAAGAAGAAGATGAGGATGAAGAAGAGGATGAGGATGAAGAAGAAGATGAGGATGAAGAAGAAGATGAGGATGAGGAAGAAGAAGAAGAAGAAGAAGAAGAAGAGGATGAAGAAGAAGAAGAAGATGAGGAAGAAGAAGAAGAAGAAGAAGAAGAAGAGGATGAGGATGAAGAAGAAGAAGAAGAGGATGAGGAAGAAGAAGAAGAAGAAGAAGAGGATGAAGAAGAAGAAGAAGAAGAGGATGAGGATGAAGAAGAGGATGATGAAGAAGAAGAGGATGATGGCGAGGAAGAAGAAGAGGATGAGGATGAAGAAGAAGAAGAGGAGGATGAGGATGATGAAGAAGAAGAGGATGAGGATGAAGAAGAAGAGGATGAGGATGAAGAAGAAGAGGATGAGGATGAAGAAGAAGAGAGAATGAGGATGAAGAAGAGGAGGATGAGGATGAAGAAGAAGAAGAGGATGAGGATGAAGAAGAAGAAGAAGAGGATGAGGATGATGATGAAGAAGAAGAGGATGAGGATGAGGATGAAGAAGAAGAAGAAGAAGTAGGATGAAAATAAGAAGAATTCCATTCCAGCAAAAAGTGTATCTGCAGAGAGCTCCGCTATTTCTGACAGTTCTCTGACAGTTCCTTCACATTTACAGCGGTTGAAACATTGTATCTATTTGTTTCCAAATAAAAACATCTGTATCCTAAATGGAAACAAATAGATACAATGTTTCAACCGCTGTAAATGTGAAGGAACTGTCAGAGAACTGTCAGAAATAGCGGAGCTCTCTGCAGGGACACTTTTTGCCAGCTGTAGAAGGGATGAAAATTGGCCGATCGGGGAAAATTCGATTCGTGCATCCGAAGTTTGCTAATTTTCGGATTCGGCGCGAATCGAATTTTTCCTAATATTCGAAACGAATTCCACTTCGCCAAGTTCGATTCGCTCATCTCTAATAGCAAGTGTAAAACTTAGGATTTCAATATTATGCCTTACACATGTCTCACCTTTCCCTATAGCTGCAAGCATCTTTTCACCATTCAACACCCTTCCCCCATCTTCCACTCCTGAAACTTTAGTACTGGCACTAACTAACTAACAAAATGCAACTGTGGAGAAATATGACTGCTAAAATCCTGATTTCATTGTCACCTCACTGCCCCCGGCATAGTGAAGTAACAGCGGCACAATGATAAGGTCATCCTTTTGGTAGATTTCCCAATAAGCTCCCAATTATGGTTTGATAAAAACCCAAAAGTAACAGACTCTGACTGTCCCACGTTTTGATCTTCCTTCTCCAAGTCTGTTGGATATTTTGAGAAGCAAAAAAAAAATGTATTTATATCAGCGGTATTTTTTTTTTTGTGTTTTTCTTTTACAAATGCATAACTGAATTAAAGTATGTTTCTTTTGTACTTGCTTGGAGTTCAGCTCCAACTATCAAACACTGCTACATGCATAGCACTTTATTAAAATTGGTACACTTTGTTTCATATACTGCAATATATAACAAGCTCATTAACCATACCACAACAGTTTCCTACTGTTCAGACCTGCATTAGTTGGAAAATATAATACCTTTCAAATGTACAACTTGTGCTATATTTTATTTATACATTTAATAGTGTGATAAAAAATAGACATCAGTAGGAAAAACCTTCAATGATGTGCTTAATGCTCAGTGCCAGAGCCAGCATATCACTGTCACCGTCTACCCTTCACTCAATGAATTCTAAGAGGTGGATAAGGGATGAAAAGCATGGAGCTGCTGTGTTGTGCCTAAGGGTGATGAAGAACATTTTGCTGTTGCATTGGGTATTTCCTGTACGTATGGTATTCTATATGGTCAAATATTTGTGGACATCTGACCATTATATGTATTTACACTTGCAGCACATCCTGGGAGCTACCTAATCTTCAACGAACATGAACTTTGCTGACTGCAGAGCTATGGGTCTGAATTAGTAGTAGCTCTCTGCAGAGAGACCCCCTGCTTCCACAAAGAGTTCAAAGATTCCACTCTGCAGGGGACAGAATTCTACTGGATGGAGAGAAAACAGGAGACGCTGTTGCCTCAACAGCAAGGCTCCTGCTTTCCATTCATCACACATCTGCATCAGAGGCTGGTCATCAGCTCTGAGGAAAGGGATTCATCCCCGAAACACGTCAACCATTTGACCGCACTGACAGTGAGAACACCTTGCCTGCCGTTGTGGCCATTGTCATTTTTCTATGCTTTTTAGATACATGCTTCGTCTGTGAGTATGTTTTTATTATTCTTTCACTCCTCACAATACACCTTGGATAATGCACTAGGTGTGTGCGCCACCTGTTTTTCTCTCTATCCAGTGGCTGATTTCCCCGTCTGAGGAGGGCTGCACCCCTGAAGCATTTCCTTTGGTTGTCTCTGTCCTGGTACCCTTGGCTTCCCTTTTGGCTGTGCATATCCTGAGGCGCTGGAGAGTACATACGACAGAATTCTACTGTTTAAAGACATCAGAGTGTAAGGCACACCATAGATGATTTGATTTTCTGTCTGGCCACCACTGGTTGCAGGAAAGAAAATTTCATGATTCCCCCATGAACACAGTCAGTGTTGATGGAGGAATCCCTTAAGCATCACTATTGTATACTACCAGCAGGGAGTATTTAAGACTGGCAGAACACAATGTTACTGCTAGCTGCTATAACTGCCATCATTATTTGCATGTAAGAAAATTTGACAGGCTGGTTGTATCCAAGTCAATCCCTCGATCAACTTGGGTACAACCAGCTTGTCCATAGATGGATCGAAATGTGGCCAGTTGCTGCTGAACCAACCACGATTTGATCATTCTATGGCCAGCTTAAGTCCAGGTTCACAACTATGCACGTTGCGATTGAGCCATTTCTGCATTGCAGTTTTGCACCTGCATTTTTTGCCGCGTTTTTGATGCGTTTCACGTTTGTTTTTTTTTCACTTGTTGCTAGGCAGATGTACAATGCAAAACGCATCACAAATGCAGCAAAAACGCAATACATGCTTTTCTGCAGCGTTTCCATTGAAGTCTATAGAAACAAAAACACAATTTTTTGCATTCAAAAAAGTCCCTGACCCTTTCCAAAAAAACTCACTTGGTGAAAACGCAGAGATGTCAACCTGTCCCATAGGAAATCATGTTAAATGGACTGTACTGCGTTTCTGCAAAAAGCTGCAAAAAACGCATATGTGTGAACCTAGGGTAAGACATTGCACACCTTTTTGAATTTTATGCACCTGGAATGTATTTCAGTAACTTTGACCCCCGGTTCACATATATGCGGCCATGCGGGCAGTGTTTTGCACGGGCATGAGAGCCCATTCATTTGAATGGACTCCTGTGCCAGTGACACACAGGGAAGAAGTCCCTGCATTTCTTTTGAAAACACAGCCCGCATGAGAACCTCGGTTCCCAGTACGGTTGCGTTTTCCAGTGCGGGCGGCGCGCCATTAGAACTAATGGCACCCGCCCGTAGGTCCGCATTTCTCTGTGCGGGTGATGCGGTTGCACGGATTTTTGTGCGGATCCACAGCGGCACCACCCGCACAGATGTGAACCTAGGGTAACTGAAAGTTCAATTGGGCTTTAAATAAACCACAATGCATCCTTTACCACTCCCAAAATTCCTATCTGTTAACAGTGGTTATAATCTGTTACCTTTAACAAAACAGCCAGTTTTTACCTTGTTGTTAAATTTGTCAGTAACAAGAACTGGCTTTTGCTTGGCTGCCCTTTACACTAGTAATTAAAATTCAGCACAGCAGAGAAAAACATTAAATAAATAGCTGCTGTACTTTTCAAAATGTGAAGAAAAGGTGAAGATTCTGGTTTGTAAGAGTATAATCTGAAATATTCTAAATTGGTTCCAGAGAATTTGTTAATGAGCTCACATATTTTTTGTGTATCTTTATTCAACCAC